CAGGAGGCAACTGGACTTTCTTGTTTTTCTTTGAAGACGTTTCGCTTCTCATCCCAGAAGCTTCTTCAGCTCTGACTGGATGGTGGGGAACGGAAGGACTTATACTCCTTGCAGACTGCTAGTCATTTGCATTCTTTGAGAGAGTTATTAAAGCTACCTGGAGGTTTACCTGTGTCATCAGGGTCACCTGAGTAAAACATCAATAGGAAGGAAGGAAGGAAGGAAGGAAGGAAGGAAGGAAGGAAGGAAGGAAGGAAGGAAATAGAGAACAGAGGGAGGGAGAGAGGGAGGGAGGGAGGAAGGAAGGAAATAGAGAACAGAGGGAGGGAGAGAGGGAGGGAGGGAGGAAGGAAGGAAGGAAATAGAGAACAGAGAGAGGGAGAGAGGGAGGAAGGGAGGGAGGAAGGAAATAGAGAACAGAGGGAGGGAGAGAGGGAAGGAGGGAGGAAGGAAGGAAATAGAGGGAGGGAGGGAGAAAGGAAGGAAGGAAATAGAGAACAGGGAGGGAGGGAGGAAGGAAGGAAGGAAGGGGCGAAATAGAGAAAAGAGGGGAGGCGACGGGAGGGGAGAGGGTAGGAGGGATGAGGAAAGGGAGGAAATAGAGAACAGAGGGCGGGAGAGAGGAGTGAGGGAGGAAGGAAGGAAGGTACTAGAGAACAGGGATTTTTTCTTTTCGAGAGGGACGGAGGAAGGGAAGGAAGAAATAGAGAACAGAGGGAGGGAGAGAGGGAGGGAGGGAGGAAGGAAGGGAAATAGAGACAGAGAGGAGGGAGAGAGGGAAGGAGGGAGGAATGGGAAGGAAATAGGAAAAGAGGGAGGGAGGGAGGACGGAAGGAAGGAAAGAGAAAGAGGGAAGGGAGAGAGGAGGGAGGGAGGAAGGAAGGAAGGAAATAGAGAACAGAGAGAGGGAGAGAGGGAGGAAGGGAGGGAGGAAGGAAATAGAGAACAGAGGGAGGGAGAGAGGGAAGGAGGGAGGAAGGAAGGAAATAGAGGGAGGGAGGGAGAAAGGAAGGAAGGAAATAGAGAACAGGGAGGGAGGGAGGAAGGAAGGAAGGAAATAGAGAACAGAGGGAGGGAGAGAGGGAGGGAGGGAGGAAGGAAGGAAATAGAGAACAGAGGGAGGGAGAGAGGGAGGGAGGGAGGAAGGAAGGAAATAGAGGGAGGAAGGAAGGAAGGAAGGAAGGAAATAGAGAACAGGGAGGGAGAGAGGGAGGGAGGAAGGAAGGAAGGAAATAGAGAACAGAGGGAGGGAGAGAGGGAGGGAGGGAGGAAGGAAGGAAATAGAGAACAGAGGGAGGGAGAGAGGGAGGGAGGGAGGAAGGAAGGAAGGAAATAGAGAACAGAGAGAGGGAGAGAGGGAGGAAGGGAGGGAGGAAGGAAATAGAGAACAGAGGGAGGGAGAGAGGGAAGGAGGGAGGAAGGAAGGAAATAGAGGGAGGGAGGGAGAAAGGAAGGAAGGAAATAGAGAACAGGGAGGGAGAGAGGGAGGGAGGAAGGAAATAGAGAACAGAGGGAGGGAGAGAGGGAGGGAGGGAGGAAGGAAGGAAATAGAGAACAGAGGGAGGGAGAGAGGAGGAAGGGAGGGAGGAAGAAATAGAGAACAGAGGGAGGGAGAGAGGGAGGAGGGAGGAAGGAAGGAAATAGAGGGGGGCGGGAGGGGAAGGAACGGAAGGAAATAGAGAAAGGAGGGAGAAGAGGGAGGGAGGAAGGAAGGGGAAATAGAGAACCGAGGGGAGGGAGGAGGGAGAGGAGGGTAGGAGGGAGAGAAGGAAGGAAGGAAAATAGAGAAGCAGGAGGGAGGGAGAGAGGGAGGGAGGGAGGAAGGAAGAAATGAAGGGAAATAGAGAAAAACAGGAGGGAGAGGAGGGAGAGAGGGAAGGGAGGAAATTAGAGAACAGGGGGGGAGAGAGGGAGGGAGGGAGGGAGGGTAAGAAGAGAACAGAGGGAGGGAGAGAGGGAGGGAGGGAGGAAGGAAGGAAGGAAATAGAGAACAGAGGGAGGGAGGGAGGAAGGAAGGAAGGAAAGAGAACAGAGGGAGGGAGAGAGGGAGGGGGAGGAAGGAAGGAAATAGAAAACAGAGGGAGGGAGGGAGCGAGGAAGGAAGGAAATAGAGAACAGAGGGAGGGAGAGGGAGGGAGGAAGGAAGGCAGGAAATAGAGAACAGAGAGAGGGAGGGAAGGAGGGAGGAAGGAAATAGAGAACAGAGGGAGGGAGAGAGGGAGGAAGAGTTTTCTGCTTTCTCTTTTCTTTTGCTTCTTCCTTTTCTCTCCTCCCTCTCTAATTCTCCTTCTTCCCTCCTTCTTAATGCCAACCCAATCATAGTCTGCTTAATTTCTGGCAAGGCCAAATGCCTCCACATGCCACACATGTTTTCACCTGTCCCTCACTGAACTTACTTTCCTTTTTGGGATGATTTTTCACACCTTTGGCTACAGAAGGTGTTGAGCTGTTCGCAGAGGTGAGCGGGTGCCAGGGAGAAGGTGCCGGAAGCCTTCGTTCCCGAGGAAACCAGACTGAGAAGGCTAAATCCGAGAACAGGAGCTGAATTTACAAATAGAAATCATTATCAGGGGTCCTCGGCTTACGGCCACCGTGGAGCCCAACATTTCCAGTGCAAAGCAATTGTTAACGGAGTTTTGCCCCATTTTAGGGCCTTTTTTGTGGCCCAGTTGTTAAACGAGTCGCTACCGTCGGTAAGAGAATCATGTAAAACGAACCAGGCTTCCTCCATTGACTTTCCTTGTCAGAATCTGACTGGGAAGATTACAAACAGGAATTACTTGACCTCTGAACCCTGCAACGGTCATAAATACATGCCCGTTGCCAAGTGTCCAAATTGGCTGAGGGAGTCTGGGAGTTGAAGTCCATCCATTTTAAACCATGATAGCTGAGGAATTCTGGGAGTTGAAGTCCACCCATCTTAAACCATGATAGCTGAGGAATTCTGGGAGTTGACATCCACCCATCTTAAATCATGATAACTGGGGAATTCTGGGAGTTGAAGTCCACCCATCTTAAACCATGATAGCTGAGGAATTCTGGGAGTTGACGACCACCCATCTTAAACCATGATAGCTGAGGAATTCTGGGAGTTGATGTCCACCAATCTTAAACTATGATAGCTGGGGAATTCTGGGAGTTGAAGTCCACCCATCTTCAAATTGCCAAGTTTGAGAAACCTTGACACAGCAACTAAACTAGCAGTGAGGAACTGGGAAAAAGAATGAAGGAATTACTTTATGGACCTAAAGCCAATCTTATGCTCCCTCTGATAGCCAGGAAAATATAAATTGTGTTATTTCTTTAATTTTTACACTGGGGTGCCAGCACTACTTTCTGTTTTTGCCTTCCCTCAGAGGTGGCTTCAAAATGGCCCCCGTATAAAGATGGTAGCCGGGAGGCCTCCATAAGCCAGGAAACAATTTTTCCTTATTATTACAATGTTTTTTTTATCATTCAGTTGTCTGTCTGATAATCAAAGCACTCAAGGGGAACGTCATGTGTTTCCCACTATTGAAAGCCACACGTTGTATGGAGATGTAAGATTATTTTACTTTCTTTTCCTTTTTTTTTTTTTTTGTCTCCTTGGAGACCAAACTGGATTTCATAGCAGCAACAAGTAAAAATGTCGATATTCGTTCGGCCTTTGGGTCAGGTGTCGGCAGGTACACAATGTTGAGTTTTGTCACTCTTTTGTTTTCTAGGTTTTCAAAATCGATTTGTTTGCTTGCTCCTTTAAGACATTTGTAAGTTCTCCTTTATTCAGGCACCACGATTGCATTTTGGCGTCTACCTTTGAAGAAAAGGGATTCACCACAAATTGAGGAAGCAACTTTCTTAATCTAGATCAGTGTTTCTCAACCTTGACAATTTTAAGGCATGTGGACTTCAACTCCCAGAATTCTCTCAGATAGCTTGCTTGGTGAGAAATTCTGGGAGCTGTAGTCCACCCATCTTAAAGCATGCCAGATAAGGCTTCTGGGAGTTGAAGTCCGCCCATGTTAAAGCATGCTGGCTGAGGAATTCTGGGAGTTGTAGTCCACCCATCTTAAAGCATGCTGGCTGAGGAATTCTGGGAGTTGACATCCACCCATCTTAAAGCATGCTGGCAGAGGAATTCTGGGAGTTGTAGTCCACCCATCTTAAAGCATGCTGGCTGAGGAATTCTGGGAGTTGAAGTCCACCCATCTTAAAGCACTTCTGGTGGGCCGTTCTAGGCCTGGGAGGCCTCCTCCAGGCCTCCGAGGCCTAGAACGGACTTCCAGAAGCAGCATGGGTTCCGCCGGTTCTCCAAACTCAACAAAATTTAGCTACCGGTTCTACTGAACTGGTGTGAACCGGCTGAATCCCACCACTGTCTTTATATAAATGCAATTAACACAATAATAATCGGAGCCTAGTGTAGAATACAAACATAAGCAGCACAGGCAGTTCTTGATTTACAACCAACATTGAGCCCAAAATTTCTCTGGCTAAGCAAGACGTTTGTGAAGTGAGTTTCCCCACCCCCCCTTTTTTTTTGCCACAGCCGTTAAAGGAATCCCTGAAATTGTTCAGTGAGTGAGGAGTGAATCTGGCTTTCCCATTGATTTTGCTTGTCAAAAGGTCGTAAAAGGGATCTCGTGATCCCCCCGGGACACTGCGACGAGTCAGTGGCTAAGTGTATGAATTTTGATCACCTGATGCTGCAGCGGTCATCTGAAAAATGATCCTAAGTCACTTTTGCTGTTGTAACTTTGAACGGCTACTACATGACCTGTTGTAAGTCAAGGACTACCTGTATAGGGACTTGTGATAAAACGGTCACACGACTGCGGGATGCTGCACACAGCCTCCAATGCACACCCAGTGTGGGCCTGTGACAACGGGGCCGTCAGAACTTTGAATCCAGGGTGTAACTTCCTCCGGGAAGGTCTGCGACGAACCAACTGGTCATACGTTGAGGACCACTGGCGCAAACCTTTTGATGACTTCTGACGTCCGTGTTCATCTCTTTTCAGGTGCACCAGGAAGGAACAGTGTGAACGATCCAGCGAACCTCGGAGGTTTGCCTCGGAGATGAAGCAATGCGTCCGACTCACCGTGCACCCCAACAACATCTCAGTCTCCCAGTATAGTGTGACAGTAAGGAAGGGGGCTTTGGGGTACCTCTGAATTCTCTGGCCTCCCAGGCCTAGAACGGACTTCCGGAAGTGGCATCCACGCACTTCCGGCGGGCCGTTCTAGGCCTGGGAGGCCTCTTCCAGGCCTAGAATGGACTCCCAGAAGCAGTGTGTGTTCAGCCGGTTCTCCGAACTCAACCAAGTTTAGCTCCCGGTTCTGCCAAACTGATGCGAACCGGCTGAATCCCATTGCTGGATTAGATGTACTCACAAGATAAAATCACCACGTTGGTCGATTTTAGATCCCAGAAAGGTGAATTGTGAATTCCTCCCCTGTTTTGATGGTCTCATTGTTGATCTACACCAGTGGTTCTCAACCTTTCTAATGCCGCGACCCCATAATACAGTTCCCCATGTTGTGGTGACCCCCAACCACTTATACATCACCGGGTGCCAGGGGTGTGGCCAAAGAAAAGGGGGAAAAAATGGTGGACAGCCTTGTTTGGTGACCCCCGTGAAATGGTCGTTTGACCCCAAATGGGGTCCCGACCCACAGGTTGAGAACCGCTGATCTACACGCTAACCTGTGCAGTTGTGATTATCTTTATGAGGATGACAAAACACATCATTTGATAATCCCAGCATCTTCCTTTTGGTGGTGATGGCAACATCGGGACCGTCTCTCTTTCCTTCTGTATATCTTTGGGGCATCTTGTCCTTTCCACGTTTTCTTATCCCTCTCTTTCCTCTCCTCAATTCCTTTTCCTCCTACAGCTGGTCTTGGAGACCTACAACGTGCCTGAGCTATCCAATGGGGTCAATTGCTCCTTTGGGGACCTGGCAGAAATGAACGGTGTGGTGTCGGGGAATAAAATCAAGTGCCTGTCGCCAGCAGCTAAAGAGGTCCCGAAGATCATCACGGAAAATGGTAGGTATCCAAATGCATTAACAGAGATATCAAAGTCCTTGTCCGCAGATGGGACAGGGGGGTGGAAGCGCCCTCGTCCCCCAATGTATGCGGGGATGTGCGAGCGCATATTTGCGCACGCAGACACCACGGTGAGCGCCTGTCAAGTCCCCTTTGCCGTGATTGATTAATGACTCTTTCAAGGGGGCGAAAAATGAGGGCCAAGGTTTTGCATTAAACATGCGCACACCTTTGTTCTGAAGTCTTAATAGGTCCCTCCGATTCGGCTGTCAGATGAATCAGAGGCCGGGATTCAGGTTGTCATTAAATGAATCGAGGCCGGGATTAACGGAAATAGAAAGAAATAGAAAGGTTATGAAAGGAGTTGTCACGACTGAGACCTCAGGGTCCGTTGGATGTGGGAAAGGGAAGCAAATGGGGGACACGTGCCCTTGATCGAAATATGTGGTTTATATGCAGTGATTTACATTACTTTAAGACCGGTGGGAAGCATATGGATTTTAAACCCGAACTTTTTTTTAATTAGGTAGTACCAGAAAAGCTTGATAAACGAAGTATAGATTTGATTGTGCCTGCGATAACAGCAGCAAAACTTATATTTGCACAATATTGGAAAAATGAAGAAATACCATCGGAGGAAGAAATAATTTAAAAATACTAGACTGTGCAGAAATGGACAGACTCAGATTGAGACTGAAAGAAAAAAAGAAACAGAATATTTTCAAACTTGGGACTTATTTTATATATATATATATATGTTTTCGTAGATTTTCACGGGTATAGGTATGCAGGTCTTGGCGTATTCGGGTCTTTTCCCGTGTAAGATTGAGAGTGTCTTGGTGATGTTTCGACGAGGTCCCACTCGTCATCTTCAGGCTGGGGTCTTCGGCTTCGTGCTTGTGCTCGCACAAGCACAAAGCCGAAGACCCCAGCCTGAAGATGACGAGTGGGACCTCGTCGGAACAAAGACTTGTGGGCTTCAACTTCCTGGCTGAGGAATTCTGGGAGTGGAAGTCCACAAGTCTTAAAGTTGTTAACTTCCCTGCCCTAGAGAACAGCCATGCTCGGGTGGATCAGCACACAGGTAGAGTTGCTAGAAGAACGGAATTGCCTCCATCCCTGTTTTTGGATGAATAACAGGGGAACCCTGTTTCCTTCCTCACAGGAGACCACCATGTTGTCCAGCTCCAGCTCAAATCCAAAGAAACGGGCATGACTTTTGCCAGCACCAGCTTTGTCTTCTACAATTGCAGCGTCCACACCTCGTAAGTTCATTGGGGGGTGAGAGAGATAGATAGAAGGATAGATAGATAGATAGATAGATAGATAGATAGATAGATAGATAGATAGATAGATAGATAGATAGATAGATAGAGATAAATACCGAGGTAGATAGATAGATAGATAGATAGATAGATAGATAGATAGATAGATAGATAGATACATAGATACATAGATATAGATAAATACCGAGATAGATAGATAGATAGATGGATGGATGGATGGATGGATGGATGGATAGATAGATAGATAGATAGATAGATAGATAGATAGATAGAGGAAAGAAACAGACAGACAGACAGAAAGAAAGAAAGAAAGAAAGAAAGAAAGAAAGAAAGAAAGAAAGACAGAAAGAAAGAAAGATGGATAGATAGATATGAGAGATGATGAAAAAGAAAAAATAAAGAAGATAGATGATAGAAAGAAAAACAGAGATAGATAGAAATGAGAGAGAGATGATGAAAGAAAGATATAAAAATAGAGAAGGATGGATGGATAGAGAGATGATGAAAGAAAGAAAAAGAAAAATAGAGATGGATGGATAGATAGATAATAGATAGATATGTGAGAGAGAGAGAAGAGGAGAGAGACAGACAGAGAGAGAGAAAGAGGGAGGAGAGAAGAGGAGAGAGAGACAGATAGAGAGACAGAGAGGAAAGAGAGAGAGAGAGAAGAGGAGAGAGAGATGCATGTCACCCATCTTGCTGGTGAAGCAAAGCTGTCAGGCAGTCCTTGACTTACAAACATACAAACATTCATTTAGCAACCGTTCAAAGGTATAACAGCACTGACAAAAAAAGTCACTTTCTTTATGTTTCTTTTCTCTTCTCATCCTTTCAGGTGCCTCTCGTGCGTGGAGAGCCCGTACCGATGCTATTGGTGCAAATATCGTCATGTTTGCACCCACGAACCTCGCAATTGCCACTTCCTGGAAGGACAAGTCAAACTTCCTGAGGTAGGAGGACAGAAAGATGTTCCTGAGATCCTCCTCTTGACGGGAGCCTAAATAATAATAACAACAACAACACAATTTTATTTGGGACAGCTTGCATCCTGTGGCGATACCTTCAATATCATTAAATAACAGCATCTGCCTATCCGATACCATTTCAGACAAATGGCTGTCCAATCTCTTCTAAAAAACCTCCAGTGTTGGAGCATTCACAACTTCTGGTGGCAAGCAGTTCCACTGATTCATTGTTCTCACTGTCAGGACATTTCTCCTTAGTTCCAGGTTGCTTCTCTCCTTGCTGAGTTTCCATCCCTTGCTTATTGCCCTCCAGTGCTTTGAAGAAGAGGCTGATCTCCTCTTAAACCAGTGGTTCTCAACCTTTCTAATGCCGCGACCCCATAATACAGTTCCCCATGTTGTGGTGACCCCCAACCACTTATACATCACCGGGTGCCAGGGGTGTGGGCAAAGAAAAAGGGGAAAAAATGGCGGACAGCCTTGTTTGGCGACCCCCATGAAATGGTCGTTCGACCCCAAATGGGGTCCCGACCCACAGGTTGAGAACCACTGTCTTAAACCATGCTTTAAGACAGCTGGACTTCAACTCCTAGTGTGGAGACCAAAACAGGTTGCAGTATTCTAGGTGTGGTCTTACTAAGGCTAATTGAAGCCCACCAGACTTAAAAAGTTGCTAAGTTTGGAGGCCTCTGCTCTGGGACACGAAGGCCTGCACAAGTGATCCCTGCTTGCAACTTTTGAAAGCAGCTGCATCTTTTTCCAGATCAGCTGCACAATTCTGGGGAAAGATCAGGCTGCTTTAGAAAGTTGCAGATAAGCGCTGTGTACTGTAGATGCATCATGAGAAAGGCAGGGCTAGATGAATCAAAAGTTGGAATTAAGATTGCCGGGAGAAATATCAACAACCTAAGATATGCAGATGATACCACTCTAATGGCAGAAAGTGAAGAGGAACTGAAGAGCCTCTTGATGCGGGTGAAGAAGGAGAGTGCAAAAGTTGGCTTGAAACTCAACATTAAGAAAACAAAAATCATGGCATCCGGCCCTCTCAATTCCTGGCAAATAGATGGGGAAGAAATGGAGGTAGTGACAGATTTTATTTTTATGGGCTCAAAGATCACCTCAGATGGGGACTGCAGCCAAGAAATTAAAAGACGCTTGCTCCTGGGGAGGAAAGCTATGGCAAATCTAAACAGCATTCTAAAAAGCAGAGACATCACCCTGCCAACAAAAGTGCGTATAGTCCAGGCCATGGTTTTCCCAGTTGCAATGTATGGCTGTGAAAGTTGGACCATAAGAAAGGCTGAGCGCAAAAGAATTGAGGCCTTGAACTATGGTGCTGGAGAAGACTCCTGCGAGTCCCTTGGACTGCAAGGCGTTCAAACCGGTCAGTCCTAGAAGAGATCAACCCCGACTGCTCTTTAGAAGGCCAGAGCCTGAAGTTGAAACTCAAGTACTTTGGCCACCTAATGAGAAGGAAGGATTCACTGGAGAAGAGCCTAACGCTGGGAAAGATTGAGGGCAATAGAAGAAGGGGACGACAGAGAATGAGATGGCTGGATGGAGTCACTGAAGCAGTAGGTGTGAACTTAAATGGACTCCAGAAGATGGTAGAGGACAGGAAGACCTGGAGGAACGTTGTCCATGGGGGTCACGATGGGTCAGACACGACTTTGCAATTAACAACACTGTAGATGCTTCTGTGGCTCATTTTTGGAAGCCAAGCCTGGACACCCCCCACAATCCTAACGATATCCAGATTCCAAGTCAAAATCCTAATCAAAAGATTTACAAGCTCTGGAGGGGATGCGAATGTCATCCCAGCAACAACATTAAGCTATGACACAGCCTGGGTTGGGAAGTGGAGTTCTTTGTTCTAGATCCGATGATTTCATTTCCTCTCATGACTCTTAATTAAAACCCAAACTTGCCCGGACTCTTAAAGAGCCCAGATTAGTCTCATCTTCAAACACTTCAACTCAGCAACAAAACGCAGATATTTCTACAGCCGGCACAGAGCGGACTCAAAAAATAAAAAGGCTGACGAACGGATCGCGTGATTTGGGGATTGGAACGCTTTGCTTTGGCGTATAATTTCTCTTTTTCAGGGGGCTTTTGAAAACGCAGCCAGCTGCTTTGAGATACGTTTTGGCAGCCCTTGAGTTGAAGAATCTGTAGTTATGATTTCCTCAAACGGGGCGGGAGAGAACGGGCCTGCGATGTTTACCAGATAGGGGAGGAGGAAGCGTAATTGACTGCCTCCACAATAAGAGGGTATCAGCTTTTCAACAGGAGCAGGGGGAGGAAAGCTAACAATCGTAGCCACTGTAGTGAAAAGGACACAAGAACAAAATTGCTGGGTCAAGAGGATGGGCCTCCTGGTCCAACAGTTTGCCGTATATAGTGCCCATTAGCCGGAGACCGAGATCCAGCCCTCATTGCATTGCTGGATGACGGTCTGTAGCTTATCTGAAAGGGGCTTCGAGACCCAAAATCCTTGAGTGTCTTTCTTCCGTGTGTTTATTCCATTCCCCAGTTAAATCCATTTTCATCTCTTACCATCTTCATCCCATCTCCTAGAACAGTGGTGTCATGGCTCCCTCGGACCTACGAGGGGCCTGTGTTTTCAGAGGAATGTGGGGAAGAGCAGGCCGAGGCAGGCCAGGACCTTCAGGAGTGGGACAGGAAGAACGGGAGAGACAGAGTTCAGATGATGAGCAAGGGCCACCCCAACTGATCCTAGAGCACAGAGAGTGGAGAGAAGGAGGGAACAACGCAGGCAGGCTCAGCGACTCGGGAGGAGAGCGTCCCGCCCTTCTCCACAAGGCTAAGGTGACCAACCATCCTCCTTTAGGGAGGACAGTCCTCCTTTTGTAAGTTCTGTCCTCTCTCGAAACGTGTCCTCCTACATGTCCTCCTTTTCGATATTTGAAGACTAAAATCTGTAAATCTCCGTATTCGATCGATGCCGATCCGTTGCGTGCGATGTGACGTATTTGTAAGACGATTCATCAAAGTTCGGTACAGTGCGGCAAGACGCGATTATGAGATGCCTGCGGTCCACACGGGAGAATTGTTTTGAGAGAGGGCGCCACGCGCAAGAGTGTGCCGCACACAAGCGGCTTTGTTTACTTCTTACCGAAACACGACACGGCACACACGCACGCATTAGACTCACTTTTTTTTCTTCAACGTATTTGCGTCCTCCCTCTCATTGTAAAAAAAGTTGGTCACCTTACACAAGGCACACCTGGAGACTGAGATTGAAGGAGACGCTGTGGGGAGAGGCATTTGTCGGGAATAGACGCTGATTCTTGAAGTGTTGTGTATTGTTGCTGATCTCTTGTTCTGTGACTTCTGTTTGGAAAGCTGGAAACTCGGACTATTGGATTTGACTGACCACGTTACTTGAATGTTGAAAGAGCTCGGACTGTATTTCAGCTTCTCTCTTTTGAAAACTGCTCAGGGGAGCTAGGATTCAAACGGGCTCGTTCAGTTTACATTTTCTTCCTTGTTATCTCTATGGCCTTGAGTACTTTCTTATGCTAATCAGACTGTAATCTGAACCTACTTTCAGCCAGAGTCGGCTGAAGGGGTGTGTGTGTGTGTGTGTGTGTTCTTTTGCTGGAGGCTTGCCAGCAAATGTGGGAGCATTTGGGGAAAATTTGGATCCTTCCTGAGATCCGATCTCCACTCACCCCCATCCCCGGGCTGAGGTGTCCGGCAGAAAAAGGCGAGCAGGTTTGAACGGAGTATGAACAACAGCCTTGAGCCTCTTTCTGTGGGTCTGTATTTCTGTAGTATCTTGTTCAGAGCCTCTATGACAGTGGTTCTCAACCTATAGGTCGCAACCCCATTTGGGGTCAATCGACGATTTCACGGGGGTTGCCAAGCAAGGCTGTCCACCATTTTTTTTCCTCTTTTCTGGCGGGTGCTTTACCTCCCTTGGGCTGGGCTAGCTGGTGGCCCAGCCAGTGGTCAGCCTGCTCCGTCTCTGCCGCTTGCCAGCTACGCCTCGGCCGGCACAGGGGGCGGCACCACGCATGTGTGGCGCTCCCGGGCAGGGAAAGTCCTCGACTTACGACCAATTGGGTAGTCCTCGACTTACGACCGGTTTAGTCCTCAACTTACGACCGGTTTAGTCCTCAACTTACGACCGGTTTAGTCCTCAACTTACGACCGATTGGGGGTCGCAGCATTAAAAAGGTTGAGAACCACTGCTCTATGAGGACAAAAGCCGGGTGGTGTGTACCAAAGAGGGTGTGTATGTGTGTGGGGGGGTGATAGGAGGCAGGAAGAGATGTTAGTAAGAATAAAAGCTGCAGGTGTTTAAAAAAAAAAGAGAGAGCAATTCCAGATAACCAGCCCGTTAGGACTCCGGACTTAAAAAGGTCCTTAATCATCTAATTACGCTGAAGGAGGTTGGGGTTGTGTTTTTTTTTTTTTCCATCTCACTAGCGCTGCGCTGGCCTCCGAAATGGGGGGGGGGCTGAGAAAGAGAAGGAGATGAAAAGGGGTGGAAATCTGAAAGAAGAAAAAAAAGGGGGGGGAAACTTCCACGCTACAAGGGGTTCCAACTCGTTCCTTTTCTCCAGCCACATAAAAGGACGGAGAACTTCAAATGTTGTTTCATCGCGTTCAGCTGGCAGATACACCCCATTCTCTGCAGCCAGCTGCCACAGGCTCAGAATCCTTCAAGTGGCCCCTTCAGGTTCAAATGCGCTGATTTTCTTTGTCCCCCCCCCCTTTTTTTTCCCCTCTTCTCTCCCCAAAGCTGCCACTTCAGGAGCGGGATTTTGCTGCCCTGAGGAGTCCTCAAGAGCCCCTCTGGTGGGTGGGAGGGGAGATAAAGAGAATCCTTGACAGGTGCAAGGCAGAGCCAGGGGGGAGGGGGGAGAGGAGGGCAAGATGGGGGAGGGCGGGGTCACAAAAAAAAGTCAAGACGCAACCGTCCAATGGAAGGCTCTCTCTCTCTCTCTCTCTCT